TATAGGAAATGTGAATAGCCCAGAGCAGAAGGGGAGATATCACAACTGTTTAGCACACGTTTGGTCAAAGGTTTGACTTCACTTGTCTCTTTGACGAGTTTTTTTGTGGTTTTGAGAATGACGAGACTTACTAACGATGCCGGCGAAAGGTCCGGTAATGTTTCACGTCCATAGTCCGACTTTGGAAATGATCATTCGTACAATGGACTATGGACTAGGTGCGTTCCTCTAAGTCTTCCTACCAATATGACCAAGTTGCGAAAGCAAGGTCAAATTATCTCTATACGACGAAAGAAGACAGCGACCACACTAAAAGCCATGTGTATTATTAATAGTCCTTTTGATCCTGTTCTCTTTTCCAACTTGTTCCAATTTCTTCGTCTACTATAACAAAATATTTTGGCCTTATCTCATAAATCAGGCGTCACAGCTACCGTCTACGTCAGATCACCAGCTTAGCTTGGCCCTGCGTGACCAGCAACCTAAGCTTAGTTGACCTGCAAGAGAAGTACACCGGCCTGCAGCTTTTAGCCCATTTAATCGCTCATTTTCACGTCGCAAATACGGCAACCTTCCAGGTTTTCCAATGTTTGGCTAAGGGGACTCACAACGAGACTAGGAAAATCGTCAACCCGGCTCTTGACGTCTTGATTCCAGCCTGGGTCAGACAATTAGAGGATCAGGTAGAGAGCATGAATTAACCTGAAGTTTTAATTCCTTATTATTTTATTTTAATCCTTTATTTTATCCCTACTGTCATTATCTTTACACGCTATTTTATCTCTTATAAATGACATTTGGTTATAGATAATATTGATCTCCTTATTTTTCATCTGCTCAATAAAAGGGTTTTGCATATTATTCATATATAAATCTCACCATCGAAAAACTTAGCATTATTACAGTTGATGGCTCCTCTCGAAAGGAATATAAGTTATTTAGAAGTTGTTCGACCTTGTTTTCACAACTTGGTCGTATTGTCAGTGAGACCTACAGGGATGCACTTTTCCTGGAGTCTATAAGTATGCATGATAATATCAGAAGTCGGACTTGGTAAATTTCCAGACGTTTTGCCGACATTGTCGGTGAATCTTGCGATTCTTAACACCACACTATACCTCATCAAAGCGACAAGACATCGACCAGACTAAAGACCATACCATCTTGGTATTCATAACTTTGAATGAAAGTTATTAATTATGTTTTTTAATATGACTGACTCAGTTAATTATGCAAGAAACTATCCTTATTCAAAGTGTTGGTTCGACCTTATTTTCGCAACTTGGTCGAAATATCAGGAAGACTGTGGAAAGTAGCTAGTCATACATTCTCTGTCATAATATTCATGATTTCCAGCATCGGACCATTGACTTAGTACAACCCCAATTGCCACTTTGATCAATTGTAAATATGTGCTAAAGATGTCTCCTATTACTGACGATGCCGAT